GATCCACTTGGATTAATAGCCACTCATCACCAAGGATAAGCATGACTGGGATGAGTCCATACCACAATCTTTGCACTAGTCTTCGTTGGAGGACATGTCACAGATCGCAAGCGTTACTTGTTTCAAATTTCCTCTCTTTGTTTTACAGAATAACTTATCATGAAAAATCATGGATTTTGTGATGCAAGCATGGCCGCGTACGGCGGTTGCATTTATGTTCGCTCGGAGTGTGAAGGGGTAGTGTCATCGACACTTCTTTGTTGAAAGTCAAGATTTGTGCCCTTGAAGACCCTCGCCATTCCCAATCTGGAGTTATGTGCAGCTCTTTTTGTTGCCCGAGCTCAGATCTCAAGTATCGGAAATTTTGCCTCCAGCATACACCTTTCATTGTTGGTCAAATTCTGCAATAGTTTTGGCATGTAAAGAATTCTTTTGAGAAAATTCAGAGAGTTTTCTGTTACATATATCGGCTTCAATCGATTATTACCTCAGCCATCATTGATTTTTTTCATTCAAAGTCAGAAGTCAGAAACAGGCCGCCTATAAAATGCTACATAGCCATCATCGTTTATTTCGCCACTAAGGCTACGCATTTAGAATTCGTCGAGGATCTTTTAACGCAATCGTTTGTTGGGAAGCCTCAAACGATTTAGACGGACAACGCAACCAATTTTATGAGGGGCCAAGAACGAGCTCATTAAGCTTCAGCAGTTGTTCCTTAGCGATCCTAACCACAGCGAGTAACAGAGTTCCCTTACTTCGATGGAAATCAAGTGGAATTTTTACTCGTTCTCGGCACTTATGAGGCTTGTGGGAAGCTGCTGTGAAATCTGCCAAGTACCACTTTGTTTGCGTTGTGGGAAAATCTATTCTGCAAACGCTTGTTTGTGAAAATTCCGCAATGTTGAACTCACGGCGCCCTCTGTGCCCTCTGTACTTACACCAATGAACGAACCGGACGTCACCCATCTCAACCTCGATCGTCTGATCCGGTGACAGCGTGTGTGCCAAATGCAGCAAATATTCTGGAAAAAACGGGGCGCCGACTACCTCTTGTTGCTTTAGGAACGGACCAAATGGCGCTCCCCCGAGCACAACGCATAGCCAGGCAACTTGGTCCTCATCAAGGAGGAAAACTTACCTTCCTTACGGTGGGGCCTCGACATGGTGAGCACCATCTCCGGAGATGATGGCATCGATCGAGTTGCGGTGATCCGCAAATTAATGCCCTCCTCAAAACACTGATCCTCATGGCAAAAACTTTGCTTTATTGCGAATTATACTTGGTATTTTTATATTGACAATTTTCAAGACCGAACTCCAGATTATCCGAATGTGTGGCCTATTTTTGCTTTTGGTCTTATGAATAAGTCACGGGGATACCGCGCAGCAGATAATAAAATTGTTTGCTTAACCGTGCTGTTATGATTGTTGTCCTCCTTTTTTTCTTCGGCAAACTGCTCATAAATGTGATATGTCCCTTACAGTCCTTTATACTGACAATTCTTTGTGTAGATTAGCACTGCATACACGCCTTTGCCCAAATTCCGTTTCCAACAACACTCGTAGAGTAGCGTAATGTTATATGTTTTGAGGAGGGAATTAATTTATGCCACCTGTTTCTAGATATTTTACAATTTATAATTGCATGAAAAAAATGCGGTGCCGTGAACGGAAAAAAAGAAAAGGCTGAAAGAGTTGTTTTCTATCTTTTACGAGTGCAAAGATTGCGGTAAGGACTCATCCCAGTCAAGCTTAGCCTTGGTGATGATTGGGACTATTAATCCAAGTGGATCGTAGAATGTAGCAATTGTTGAAAGAATGCTGCGTTTGATTTCCGGACAGTCTGTCCACCAGCTTGAAACGCTGAAGAGCAAATTATCCGATAGGGTATCCCAAGCTAGGACCAACGCTCTTGCAATATCCGCGTTTTTAGATGCCAATTTAGCCTCGAGTGCCTTAAAACGAAAGTGCGAAGGTTGTGGTTGAAACAACTGCTCGCATAGAGCATTCTCTTTCGAAATGGTGTTGTAGAATCTGGGCAACTTTTCTTTGATGTGTCAGAAATTAATTCTGATTCCAACTGAGTGCTAGGCTCTTGAATTGAATTAAATTCCTTGAATTTAGACACCGTGAGACGAAACAGCCAAGTCTGGTTTTCTGCAGGGTGGGTAAATGCTTTCCTAAACGAAGTTGTCCTAAACCAAGCAGTTCGAAGAATTCACTTACCACCAATAAGCAAGTAACCGTCTTATCCGATGCTAGCAAGAACTCGGCGATCCCTGATATGGAGATGGTTGAGCGATGGATTTGAAGTTGCAGTTTGCGAAACGAGAGGTGACGAAGTTGATTTGTGAGGCCGAGCGAGTAGGGCCCTGCAAGGCACGAATACGCCAGAGCGGTTTTTGACATAAACTATTGCGGTGGTAAGCAAGGTGCAGGTGGTGGTTTGGGCAAGGCTACAGAAACTTAAAAGTAGGTATGTGGCAGCATTTCAGGACCAGGCTGCGGAAGGGTTGCAATGGGAGTCGATTGCATATGCAGAAGAGTATGATGCTTCTGGTGGCAGTTCCTACAGCTACCAGATTTGCATTACCGTAAGCTGTGTCCCTTCCGTAGGCAATTTATACAAAGGTGCAACCTTTTTTCTTCGTTGTAGCGCTGAGTTGGAATCAATCCTAGAAGAAATGCCCACATTTCTTCAAATAATGTTCCTTTGACTTACATAATAAACACAATGGCAATGTCGAAGACGAAGGAGTGTGTGGTGCGATGACTTCTACTAGCTACATTTCCCACCTGTTTGCTAGGTGTATGGTCTACCATAGCGCATTCCGAGTTCTCCATCATGCGGCACCAAAGATCCAAAAATTTGGAAAATTGGTCCCATTTCGGGGGCGGAGCTTCCTCTCCTGGTTCTAATGGCCCAGTTTTGAAGAGATGAAATGGATTAAAACATCGTCAAGAATTTCCTGCGTAGTTGTATAGTATTAAGGGCGCGAAAGTGCGAATTTGGCTTGTCGCTCAATTGCCGCAAACTACTGGCGGATCGAACAAGTGCCTGGAAATGTAACAATTTATTATTAAAGCGTAAAATCAATAGTTTTAAAGCCCTGTCATAATTCCCTCAGTGGGTTCCAGGGATCAAATTGTGTCCAACGCTGCACCATCCAAGCAGGAACGAAGATGCTGTTTGTTCCCACCACCGTGTTGAACATAGCGTAGAAGTATGCTCCTCCAAATCATTAATTTATGTCACCTGCTTCTAGATATTATATTTTACAATTTATAATTGCACGAAAAAAATGAGGTGCCGTGAACGGTGAAAAAGAAAAGGCTGAAAGAGATGTTTTCTATGTTTTATTTGCGCAGCGCTGCGCCTACGATTCTACAGCGATAAAGAACAAATATAATGGGGCGAGCCGAGCGATCGGCGATTTGCGGGCGCTTATCTCGGCTTGTCTTACAGATAAAAAAAATTAATTCAGCATGCAGTAATGCTAAAAAAATGTATGCCATGATTCTGGTATCAGCTAGATGACTACTCTCGACATTATACACAAGCCGATAAATAAAGGGCAGCTATGCCTGTCATTTTTGCACGAGATTGCGTGAACTTTTTTCGATTAAGCGTCAGCGGTTAACTCTTTTGAAACCAATGTTTCAAGGCACACTGTGGCCATCAAAATCTGGAATTAGAAAAATTTTCCTGTAATTTTGGTAGTTTTCATCTACTTGAATTTTCAATCTGAGTAGCTGGACCATTTGCTGAAAGATATTATAGTTTTCCAAAATGTTGTGTGACTGTTCAACGGCATGTTTGTAACTTGCGCTCTCTCAATAATTTCTTGTTGCGTCTTTTCCTTTTCGGCCTCGTTTATTTTTGCTTCTTGCAGACTTGCGAGTACCGGCATTAGTGGTTGTTTTCTGCGTAACTGCTGTTGCTGGTAATTCTTGAGGTAACGGCACATATTTGTGGATTTCTGAATCCATCGTTATTTATTCTCTGTTTCACATCTTGATGAAAATATTTGGTATACATATAAATCAATGTAACTGCTTCTTAAACAACATGTATTTTCAACGTTTCTGCGTTTTCAGCTTATTTTAATATAAGCACGGCTGATATTTATTTAGCAGTGCTGAGCCTTCAACTGTTTACTGTTTTACCCGTTACTCGTAGAGTAAAAGGGTATACTAGTTTCGATGAAAAGTATGTAACATTTAGATGGAAGCGTTGTCTCTGAAATCTCAGGAATTAATTGAGATTAAGTATGTACAATCTTGAGATGCCACCGCTTCTTATGGTGGTACCATTAGCATTTTGTAGAAAAGTTGATATCTCGGTAATTATTAGAGATAAAACGTTCGGACTCGGAGAACGTAGGTTTTAATAGTGCCCCTAATGCAAATTGATTTTTCCATCAAGCCCACTCTAACACGCAAAAAAACAGGAAAACCAAGAACGGGAATATCTCGGGAACTATAAGAGCTAGAAAGTTAGGCTTAGGAGTACATATTTTGGAAATCCCACAGCAGCTCGACGCCAATTTTCGTCTGGCCCCGCCGACTCTAACGCGCAAACTGTGGAAAACTGTGGCGTCCATAATATTATAATGAATGTCTATTTATTTACCAAAGATTTTTCAAATCGGAAAATTATTTCGCTATACATGAAGAAATGTGGGCCTCACATGTGCAGTGACGTCACTATCAGTTACTCAACTTGCTTTCTTTGACAATAAGCGCTTTGTGAATTTCCACTAGCAAAATGATTATTTTAAAATTGTGTAAAACAGTTACGGGTATCTTATTGTCGCGGCACTCGACTATAGCGTTTCTTCTTGTATTTCAATTCGGTATGGTTTTTGAAGGTTGCTTAATTAACCTATATAAAATTGTAATTGTAAAATAAACTAAAATATGTTGATACTGTTGCTATATTAATATTATATTCAACCATACGTTCTTAAATTTTAATTTTATGAATAATTTTACAGCCTTACATGGAAGAAATATTTACCCAACTTAAAGGAAAGCCATTTAAAAAATTTTTGGATAGGTAAGCAAATTATTTTATATTTTTGGAATAATGTTAATTTACAGGATACTAACATAATTGAAACCCAAGAAAAAATAAAATTGTTATAATACCAAATATACAAATAGACGTCAGACACATTGAAAAAGTATTGATAACATGGCGCTACTATTGGGCTTTTGTTTAGTATTTCGCTACAATAGCAAGGCGATTATAAAAACATGGGGGTGTCTATAAAGTGGTTTTAAAGTGGTTTGTACGGACTTTGTTTTCATGCTCATGGAGATTAGAGATTTCGGTAAGTCTATTATACAGCAGGAAATTTTGTTATTTTCGAAGAAATAGTTATTATAGGACTCTTCTATTTTTTTGAAATCCCGTCTAGTGCAAATATTGCGAATGTTTTATTCGTTCATCACGGAATCGAAAGTTGCACGGGTTCTGTGATTATGTGTCTTATTTAATGGCAGAATGGTGTTTCTAATGGTCTTGATGTTGATGATCCGGTACGGAATATTACTTGACTATTGAAGTGATTTGTTGGTTGTGAAGCGATAGGAATAATTTTTAGTTACTTACAAATTTGGCTTAATTCTGCTGAGTGCGTCAACGGCTTCGTTTCCATCGAAGTAGTTTTAGATTCTGGCATTTTAGATTTTCTATCCATATTAATGGCATATGGACTACGACTACATCGAATTTACTTACGAAGAGGTAAGGTCTGAAATGACCTACAAAGGGATTTTTGTGATGGAACACGCAGGGGCGTTCTTGAGACCCAAGGCATTCTCGTGATATCATAATGTTAATTTTCGACAATTAATACTGTCTTGCTTGCGTCGCGTGGGTTCACTTGAATTTGTTGAAAGCCATTTGCTAAGTCTGTTCTTGTTAAATACATAGTCAGTAGAAGGATAATGCGGCTTCTGGCACAGATTTATGGTCTATTAACCACTCACATTAGTGATTAAAATATTGTTTCCCCATCTCCGAAACCCAATATCCATATATTACCACCCAGCAAGTCCTTTTAATCAGTGTTGATTTTGGCACAGATATAATAAACTCATAAATTAAAATTTTTAAAATGAGTGTTCTGTACGTGTTCAAATAAGTAATAAAATTTGACGACCAGGTCATGATTTGTTTTCCGATCCCCCATCCGTTATTTAAGAGTACTGGAATGTATATTCCTGACCCTAAATAATTAATTTTTATATTAGTAAGTAAGCGTCTGTGTAGGTATGTATGGGTGAGTAAAAACTCCAGATATGTGTAGAAACACGAAATATAGGACCAATAAGAAAGATGCTCGCACAGTTATAATGTTTCCCACAAGGGAAACAAGAGGTTGTAGTTTTCCGTATAGTCATTGTTTGCCAGCTTACCACATTTCACCCCTAATAAAGGGATTAGATTCCCTCTGCCCCTTTAGATCGTAAAAGCTTCGCTGATACTCCGGTAGATGGCGCCAGGGGAAAATATATCTCGCTAATCATAGGGCGATGCTTGGTTTCTTCTATATCCATAGACTTCTTAAGGGTGAAATTGATAGCCACGCCCTTTTAGGTCGCCTGCGGCAGGAGGTGGGTTGCACGACAAGCAACGGGAGTCGAGCGAATAAAAAAAAAACCTTTTTTATATCTTCCATTATCCTTAATGATATCTTTACTTATAAGAAAGCATCCAAATTTATCCCCTTAACATATTAAAAAACTTTTCACGAATCTGTCGTATCCCTTGTCTGACTTAATATGATCTCTATAAATATGTCGCATATTTGATTAATTTGGTTTAAACGTTATAATAAAGTTTGCATTGACACGAATCAATTGTTCAGGTATATGGGTGTACGTTTAGCATAAATAAAAGCAATCAATATTCTAATGACGATCCATACAAAAAATCGATTTTATGTTGACTTATTTTTCACAAGCTACGTCACGAAATATCAAATAAAATTATTTTTTGCTTCACTCGGGTCAATACACAATCGTTATGAGAGAAGGTATGGTATCCGATTTCTTTAATAGGTTTTATTAATTTTTACACGTACTCATATTTTGGTTAATATAAAATCTTAGAAAACACATAAATATTGAGTTGAGAATAATGTTGGTTTTACCACAATTTGAAGGTCCAACAATAAGAGCTCTTATCGTATAAGGAGAGAGCTATGTCGTGGAGGTTGTTTTTTATCGTTTTCAGCGTTGATATATCTAACGATAATTTTTTGTTTATGACTTATTAAACGCATTCTTAAAGCTTACGTACCTCATTCGATGAGAAATCTTCGATGATTAAGCATCAATATAATGGGGAAGCGTTTTTATAATCGATTCATTAGTGTTTTCAATTGCAAACGAGGTGGTGATCTTGTCAACAACTTAATTAATACATTACCGTTTGAAGCCCATATACCAGGATATAAATTTTGTGGGCCGGGTTCACAGCTAGAAAATCGTTGAAGCGAGGTGATCAAGGAATAAATAAACGGGGTGAGGTTTGTAAAGAGCACGATACAGCATATTCCCATAAAAAGGATTTAGTTAAAGTAAAGTTATTGAGGACAATATTATTAAATATGTAACAAAACCGACAGCGATACCAAAAAAGACAACAATTGAAATAGAAGGTGTATCCTATAAACCAATTCAAATAATATGATTAAACGAGCAATTGCAAATGAGTTGCACGGACCGTCTCGTAAACATTTTTAACGAAGACGAGTCATTACGAAGGGAATAAACGACCTGTGGCAATCAAATTTGGTCGAAATGGGTGGTTATTCAACATCTAACAGGGGTTATCGATACTTATTAAATGTAATTGATACGTTTTCTAAATTTCCTTGAGGTGAAGCATTACAATCAAAAAATGCCAATGATGATTCGGAACAGAACGCCAAAAAAAGTACAACATTTAAACAGAGTTCAGCACCCTTAAGGCATCAATTGCCGAGCATTTTAATAGAACACTCAAAGAGTCAATGTGCCGTGAGTTTAGCTTCAATGGGAATATAGTGGATAGAAAATTAAAAAAAAAAGTTTATATTCGATTACAATAATAGGGCACATAGAACCATAAAAATGAGCCCAATTAGTGCCAACACAACTAATGAAAAAAAATTATTAAAAGACTCATATAATCTCATAAAGATATATGTTGAGAGTAAACTACGAAATGGTGATCAGCACGAATTCGTATCAGCAAGTATAAACATGTGTTTGAAAAAGGGTATACACCGAATTATACAACGGAAATCTTTAAAATTAGAAAAGTCAATAATACATTCCCCAAAACATACTTACTTTATAACGGTAATCCGATTCAGGGTGGGTTCTATAAAGAAGAACTCAAAAAGACTGAATTTCCAAACACTTTTCTAGTTGAGAACATTTTAAAGCGAAGAGTGGATACATTTTTGGTAAATTGGCTTGGCTTTTCAATGGATAAAGACAGCTGGGTAAATAAAGAGGAAATTATATAGTACAAAATACCAAATGAAAAGACAATGTTATATTTAATTATAACCGTTACTCGTAGAGTAAAAGGGTATACTAGATTCATTGAAAAGTATGTAACAGATAGAAGGAAGCGTTTGCGACCCTATAAAGTATATATATTCATGATCAGGATCAATAGCGAAGTCGATAGAGCCATGTCCGTCTGTCGGTCCGTCCGTCCGTCCGTCCGTATGAACGTTGAGATCTCAGGAACTATAACAGATACAGGGTTGAGATTAACCATGAAGATTCTTGAGGTCCCGGGACAGCGCAATTTTATTACAGCATCCTGCCACGCCCACTCTAACGCCCAAAAATCGCAAAAAACTAAAATTGCTGAAATCTCAGGAACTATTAGAGCTAGAAAGTTGAAATTCAGAAAGTATAATCTTTAGATGCCAGCGCATCTTATAGTGGTCCTACTATCGGGCCACACCCACCCATACGCCCAAAAGGCTCAAAAGACGGTTTTCAGATATTCTAGAAAAGCTGATATCTCGGTAACTATAAGTGATAGAAAGTTCGGATTAAGCATGTAGGTTTTTATGATGCTGCCAATGCAAATTGTTTTTTTCCGATCAAGCCACGCCCACTCTAACGCACACAAAACCCGAAAAACCAATTATGCAAAAATCTCGAAAACTATATGAGTTACAAAAGTTTGCTCAGGAACACTTATTTAAGAGATGCCTCTGCAACTTACCACGAAGTTGCATCCGGCCAGGGCCACTCTAACGCCCACAAACAACGGAAAACTGTGGCGTCTATAATATTATTATGAATGCCTTCGTTTTACCTTGTGTTACTTATTTATGTTAATATCTATCGAGTTACCAAAGATTTTTTAATTCGGAACATTATTTTGCTATTTATAAAGAAATTAAGGTTATAAGGCCTTACATGGGCAGTGACGTCACTATAAGCATACTCAACATACTTCCTCTGGCAATAGGTGGCGCTTTGTGAATTTCCACTAGCAAAATAATATTTTAAAATTTTGTAAAACAGTAACGGGTATCTTATAGTCGCGGCACTCGACTATAGCGTTTCCTCTTGTTTTCATTTTTGTTTTGTTAATTTTTTCATTAAAAAAAAAAAAAAATTTAAATCTTATACTTACATGTGTATATATGTACAATTTTATGATTTGTATATTAACAATTTTAATTAAATATTATTCATGTTTTTACAATTTTTGTTGTTTCGATCAAAATAAAACATTTCCAATTCAATTGACTTATAAAATAATTATTTTTCTATGTTTTCTCGCTTATCTCTTAGATTATTTAATGTATTATCATCTGTATTTCTTTAATTTATTATATCTCTTATATAATTTCCAGTTCTAGGAAATTGATACTATCGATAGTATTCTTTTCCATTAACCTTTGATGTTTTATTGATAATGTACCATGGTCGTCGTGATTTAACATTGTAAACTCTGTTTCATTATGTTTACTTTTTTTTTTACTATCATTAGCACAAAGCACATTCTTATATACCCTATTTCTTGAT